GCCCAACCGGAGCCAATGGCGTTACCGACAGGGCCCAACCGGAGCCAATGGCGTTACCGACAGGGCCCAACCGGAGCCAATGGCGTTACCGACAGCTGTGTAGACTCTGTACCAAATACTAAATAACGTGCAAACTCCATCCAAGCAGAGGCAGGGTAACAATCAAACTCACAACCTAGAGAGCGAGAGACCAGAGTGCTAACCAAATAAGCCACTGAATCATCTACTGCTCAGAATATGTTCCTGCTGAACAAATTACACACAAAAAAATAGTAGCAGCAGAAAATTTTTTAAACGCCTAAGAGGATCTAAGTATGACTAAGGGTGGTGGCTTGAGAGAGACAGTACTGATGAGGAGCTGGGGAGGTGAGAGCTCACTGGTGGTGAAGCAGTGCCGGCAGGCGTAGCCCTTCAGCTCCTGCTCGCTGTCCTCACTGTCAAAGTCATCCTCACTGGCTGAGCTGAGATCCACTAAAAGAAAAAAGTAGCATTTAAAAATCAGAGCACTGCATTTTGACACGTGTTGTTACTGGCAGTTTCAGAATTTATCACACATTTATATATTTTACAGCCCTTAGCATTTTTGCACTATTTTGTACTTTCAGATTAGATGCAAAACTGCATTTCATTGTCCAGGTATTTGTACTTCGAGCAATGACAAAGTTGAATCTAATCTAATTCAGAAAATCTGCTCCACATGACAGCTAGATATTGTATACCATATGAAATAGACTGGCAATCTCAATCGCTGTGCCTTTAGAAATATAAAGGGATATTTAAGCAGGAAGCAAAACAGGCAAGTACCTGCCAACTATAAGAGGAAGTTCTGTTTTATTCCACCCCTCAGGCCCAGAAAACACACCCAGGATCAAAGTCTGAAACCTTATTGTATTCCCAGGTTTTCACTCGTGCTAACACTAAAAGACTGGTTTTATTTTTCATTTTTCCTCACAGTTCTGGTAAACCAATCTACTCCTGTAGCTAATGTCCCCCAATCCTTCCTGTCATGCAGCATCTGCCATCCTGCCCAGAGAAAAGTCTTTTAATTAAAAAAAACACTATATGGCCAAAAGTATGTGGATGGAAGCTTGTCCAATATCTCATTGCAAAACTAAGTGTATTAATATGAATTCTGTTGCTATAGTAGGGTATATTATGGGAAGGATTTGCACTTAGATGCTGGGACATTGCTGGTGGGTTTGCAGCCGTTCAGGTTGGGTATTGATGCTGGGTGATTGAGTCCCTTTCTGTGAGCTTGTGTGGCCTTCTACTCCACAACTGAACATATTTCCAGATGTTTCTACTTAATCACTTTACTTGCGGTTGTGCAGGGCAGCTCTGGTGGGGCAGAAATTTGGCAAGCTGACTCGCTGGAAATGTGGCATTACTCGACTGAGCCAAGTTTAAAGTAACTAACCTCTTCTGCATGACCACTCATTCGGCTGTTGGTGGAGATGGCTGTGTGCTAAATTACACACCTCTGACAGCAATGGGTGAGGATTAATTAGGTAATTCTTCCAACCAAAACAGGGTGCCCACATTCTTTTGGCCATTTAGTGTAATAATACTCAAAATGAGTATTTTACATAAATATGAGCGTCACATCAGAATATATTTAAACACGAAATAAACGGAGACGTACAGAACTCGCTGGATGGGGGCCGGGAGGGAGTGTTGACGGGAGTGGAAGCCGTGCGCGTCTTGATCCTGCGGAAAATGGGCTGCCTGCGATGTCGACGATGAGCCCGTGACCCTGCAGCCTCCGGGGTCTTCTTCCAGTAGTAATAGAACGTAATCAACTCGCCCTGCAAGAACAACATACACCTTCAATTACCCACACTCAAACATGGGAACAAAACTGCACAGAGTAGACATCTAAGCAAGAATTATAATAAAGACACATAAAATATTTGTAAATGAAGTAACGGTTCATTTTGCCTCAACAACTATAACTCAATTTCAAGCCACAATCTTAATGCCAGTCCTGTTATGTGCTGAAGTAGTTAAACAGAGTCCTTACAATGACTCTACAAACCCCTGACGAGCAACTAACCTACAATTCAAATGAAGACAATCTCACTGCAGAGACTGAAGAAAAAAAAACAAACAGCATTGTTGCCTGGAAAAACCGGTTTCGCTTTTTGCTGTGACTAAAATGAGTGTGAGGGGAACCGCCGACACCAGGGCAAGGATAAAGCGGATTAAATGAAGCTCCACTCCGGGCTTTACTGGGAGACCAGTGTGGCGGCTACAGGCCTGTCTGCTGGAGGATTAAGCGATGAGGCAGAGTGACTATAGGGGTATTAGGATCAGTGCTTTGATGGCTGACTGGGTGGCAGGAGCGTGAACGCAAACAAAAGGGCACATGGGGTGGAGGCCCAGTACGACAACTGGGGAGAGTAATGGCTTCTGCCCCCTCTGCTGCCAGGGAATTGAGGTTTAATCAAACATTCACAGCACAATAGCTCAGGCAAGGCCGTATAAATCCAGCAAACAAAAGGCAGTGACCAAACCAAAAGATTAAAGCTAAAACAGACACACACAAACACAGATATTTCCTTTTCTGACAGTACACACTAAAACTCCTACTTTGCGGAACCCACATGACTACCAACCCTAAACGGTATTATTTCAAAATCCATGTTTCTCAAATGGCCTCCCCCTTTTAGGTCAGTTTGTCCATTATAATAGCTGATCTTATGTGTAAATGTATTTTTGCCAACCATTCTTTGCTGTGAGTCGAGGTGCCAAATGTTTACTCACCTACAAACCATGACTGTATAGCACATGCATTTCATTTTAGGCCAAGAGCACTAACTTAACTCCTTTCTCACTCTAAATATACACTCCATCGCAATGGAAGAAAAAAACGACTACTGAGGTAAAACATAGTCTGACAAACCCCAGATATACCGACTGTATTTAATGCCGCTTTTAACCCGTTCTTTTATGGTGTTTTTCCATCCATCCCTCCATCTTCTACTGTGTCCAGTGAGCCTGGAGCATATCCCAGAATGCCCAGGCCATTAAGGGGGTAACACCCTAGATGTGACAGGAGTCTACTGCAGGCTACACACACACACACATACACACTATGGCCAGCTTCAAGATGTCAGTTCACCAAACCACACGTTTTTGGACTGTGTGAGGAAATTAAAGGAAACAGGCTCACAGTGAAAACATGCAAATTGCCAAATGGAGAAAGAAAATTCAGGGATGGAAGCTGCAACCCAGTACTAATCAGTCGCCATAATACATTTTCAAGAAATGACAAATGAAATTATTCCAGGATGTATGAAAAACATTTCACAGAAGTGAAGCTGCATTCTGCAACTTCAGCCTCATTTTCATCTGAAACACTAATTTGCCACAAAAAATTCTCTTCACAGACATGCTTCTAACTCAATATATGGAGGGCACAAAATAACGTAAAACCTAACAACAGCCTATTTTAATATCTACGACCAAATAAGGAGCAGGGCCACCCTTTGCCTTCAGAACAGCGACAATTCTTGGAGTACTGATGTACACATTCTGTGTGTATTAGTATATTGATCACTTTATTGAACCATACTTTAAGAGAAGCCACCATTCTTTGTGGGATGGATATGGAGAACGGTTCAATGCTGTTTACATCTGGTGACTGGGGAACTTTTCAATTTGTTTAGCAGCGTTTATGAGACAATTATCATTGTGGAATTTGGTAATATCCTGAGGAACTAGCACAGGGTGCATGTGGTCTATACTGTAATATGGAATGTGGAATATCCTGAGGAACTAGCACAGGGTGCATGTGGTCTATACTGTAATATGGAATGTGGAATATCCTGAGGAACTAGCACAGGGTGCATGTGGTCTATACTGTAATATGGAATGTGGAATATCCTGAGGAACTAGCACAGGG